CACACATGTCACAGGAAACAATGAAAATTGAACAGCATAAAATTATTTTATTCATTACCCAATATTAATTGAATGCTGAATAAGTGTCAGATATTATTTTAGGCTTGAACAATAATAAAAAATTACAATGATAATCTCAGTAAGTGCCATTCACTGGGTTAGGGAATGACAGGGAACAAATGAACTGTTCGGGCTGGAAAGGGTACTGAGAAATAGTGCAACACACATAGACATTTAACTTGCATGTCTAGTACCAAACCACAAGTACAGGACAAAATAGTCTCTTGAAAATGTATAGAATATCAAATTGAAGGAGTTTCAAAGTGTTTAGGTACCAAGATGTAAATGTATTTAAAATACTCTCAAATGGTCCGGGGACTTGGCTCAGTGATTCCACCACCTGCCTTACAAGTGCAAGGGCCTGAGTTTGATCCCCAGTACCAAAAAAAAAAAAAAATACTCTTATAGTTTGGCTCCACAGATAACTTAAAATGAGGTTGTAGATGAGGGCATTGTTTTTCTTTTAAAGCTTCAGATTCTTCATTAGTAAAAATGGACACTAAAAATCATTTATTTGTATTGATTTTGACCTAAAAGAAATTATATATACATATATACACACACATGTATAAATTAGTGTTGTGTAATGTTGTGCTTAGGATGTTGTGCTTAGGATAAAAGAAGTTCAATGAGTGGTATTATTTTAGTCTTGTGTTTTAACTTTTGGTAATGTTTCTAAGTATTCTTCCAACTCTCGAACATGAGAATTCAGCTGTGCTTAAATGTGGGAATACGCAATTCTGAAATCTCTCTTGTATGTAATAAAACATAAATAGAAAATATGAAAGCTTCCTCAGAAAACATGACATGATTGTGATTTTCAGTGGTGTGATAAAAACTAAAGTAAAAATAATTTTACACCTAAAATTTTTAAAGTGTTTTTCTATGTGTGTAAATTTTTTACATAACTGGATAAAAATTCAGCTGTGGAGATGTCTACACTTCTGGAACAAGGGAATAAACAATGATGCTTTCATAACTATATAACTGGTGCCTCCTTCTTCAGGGACTGACTGTCAAAGCTTTGGATGTACAGGGTCTGCACTTCAGAGCGTCAAGTGGTTCTTTACATTTTGCCACCCTAGGCACTTTGATTACACCACCCACATAAAAAATTTCTATTTCACTTGGTGCTTGAAGTCCTGGCTCTTGCAAGAAAGCAAGTGGAACAAAAGAAATTCACAAATATTGGAAAGAAAGATTAATTTTTTTCTGTATTTTCACAGCATTCACTTGTGTTTATAGAGAATTATAAAAAAACTTTATAGAATACTAAATGCATTACTAAGACTTCAGATTGAAGGTCAACACAATTGTGTTTCTATCCTTTAACAATAAACAAGTGAAAAAAGCAACAACCAAATTAGTTACATTAGCTTTCTGAGACAAAATGTGTAACAAAGCATGTGGTAGAAACAGAGAATAAAGAAAACTTACTGAGAGAAATTAAAGAATATAAATGAAAATAGGCCATCTTTATGACTGGATGATTTAAAATTGTTAACTATACTTTAAAAGTTAATGAGTATATCAATGCAAATTTTATCAAAATCCAAGCAGGTGCTTTTTGAAGAAACTGATATTCAAAAATGAATGAGGAAATGTGAAATACCTATAATAAATAGCCTAAACAGTTTCTAAAAAGACAATAGTTTTAAAAAGGCATATAATCGGATTTAAGATATTTTGAAAATGTACAGAAATCTATGAACTGTATTATTGGTAGAGGAAAAGTTAGAGCTGGGTGTGCTAGTAAATACTTGTAGTCCCTGAATTCCAGGGGACTGGGACTTGGAGAATCCGAGTTCAACCCCATCCTGGAGCAATTTAGAGATTTAAAAAGACTCTCTCTCTCTCTCTCTCTCTCTCTCTCTCTCTCTCTCTCTCTCTCAGAAAAATAGGGAACATAGCTCATTTGCAGGCCCTGAGTTCAATTCCCAGGATAGAAAAAGATAAATAAGTAGAAATCCAATGAAATGATGTATATATCAATAAAAGACAGAAAAGCAATTGCATAGATACAGTTCTAAGGTTATATGCAAATTAAAAATTATCCTTTGAAACTAAACTAAGAAATTTCTCACCACACCCTTATCTTAAATAATTTAGAAAATTGTAATAATGTTATTTCTGTTTCTATAAAACATGTAAATGTTTTCAAAAGCTAATTTAGATTCTTGGCAGTTTAGCAATTCAACAATATCTTCTTGTTGTAATTGAAGAATATCTATCTAAAAGACTTTATAACTATCTCTCAAATGTAATCTTCAATTTGTTGGGTAGGTTGAAAGCTTGGGCTTAGACTTTATTCCAAAACTGTATCCTTTCATAACAATAGAAGGAGTCTATTTTTCTTTGGATAAACCGATTAAGGAAGACAGATGGTCACTAATTACCAAACGAGTTTAGGAAGAACCACGTGTGACAAATGGGTGCTGTCAAGCTCTCTTACTTGAGGACTAGTTATCATCTATCATGAGAACATGTACATAATGGGTTGTAACTGCTTGGCTATGTAAAAGGCTGAGAATTCATTCTTTACAATCTCTTAGCAGATGTTTATGAATGCACATCACATTTTGGTTCGATGATCAATTAAAGGAAAAAAAAGTTTACATTCTCTTCTAATTTGTGTAGAGGCTTTGGAAGAGATTTTCTTTCTAACTGTTTTTCTTTGATTCAGGAGTGGCCTGATCATGTCAGTCTCATGATGAAAACTTGACTGAGGCTTGCTGTTATACATGCCCTGACCAATAAGGCCACGCGTGACAAGGATTTTGCTCCTTGAACAGTTACATCTTAAACTATTGTCCAGGATTAAGCAGAGTAATTGAAGTATAGCAACCTTTCGCGAAAGTTTGCTGAGTGCAGAGATGAATAATTTCATTAATAATTTCTGTGGAGTAAATGAGATTGAGGTGATCAAACATGGTAGTGAATACTGTTTCCTATCTTATAAAAAATCACTACAAACACTTCTCAAGAGCAAATATCTCAATTTTACAAGTTTTAACAATGAAGCAATTTTTCTCCAAAGTACCTATTACAGATGAGGGATGTGGCTGACTTGGAGTGAGCTCTGTGATGAGTATCTCTGATTTGATGCTGAAGAAAAGCTTTTACCTTGTGGTAGGGGCCAAAATAAAGTCTGATAAGGGATGACAAATGAAAAGGCGACCGAGCCTGACTAAAATCCAGAGTTCAGAAGGTGGGATATGGGAAACAGGCCGAAGCCTGGTTAGCAGTACCCCATCCCACACCTGGTCTGAGAAAAGAGCAAGTTGGCCCCTCAATAGTTGTCTGGATGAATAGTAAACTTGCAGTCAGACAAACCATATTCCCCACTGAGCATCAGAAGTTAGACACTTCCAATCCAGGGACTCGAAGTAGCTAAAGCCAGAATGTGATAAATTTCAAGGTCCATGCATCATCTCTTACATATCCAGAGCCTGCAGGTGGAAGAACACTGGCAGAGAGACAGTTTCTCCAACACAGACAATTTTTATGAAGAAGAAGGAGAAGAAGGAGGGGAGGGGGAGGGGAGGGGGAAGAGGAGGAGGAGGAAGCCACTACTGCTGCCATATACTATAGGCATGTTAGAACATTAAGCACACTACCCAGAGTGGTCTGCCTACCGGCCTCCAGGGTCGGAAGAAGC